ATAAGGCGTGGATTTTTTAAAGATTCATTTTTAAGGCCTAGTATAAGGCGTGGATTTTTTAAAGATTCATTTTTAAGGCCTAGTATAAGGCGTGGATTTTTTAAAGATTCATTTTTAAGGCCTAGTATAAGGCGTGGATTTTTTAAAGATTCATTTTTAAGGCCTAGTATAAGGCGTGGATTTTTTAAAGATTCATTTTTAAGGCCTAGTATAAGGCGTGGATTTTTTAAAGATTCATTTTTAAGGCCTAGTATAAGGCGTGGATTTTTTAAAGATTCATTTTTAAGGCCTAGTATAAGGCGTGGATTTTTTAAAGATTCATTTTTAAGGCCTAGTATAAGGCGTGGATTTTTTAAAGATTCATTTTTAAGGCCCTGTATAAGGCGTGGATTTTTTAAAGATTAATGTAACCGATTGTCATATCTCGACTAGCTGAATCGATCTTGACATGTGGGTCCGTCGGTCCGTCCGTTTGTCCATTATAATTTGTAAACACGATACAGGCCACAGTTATGGACCAATCTACACGAAATTTTTCATGTATGATGGGTTCTGGCTAATGAAGACCCCTATTGTTTCCCTAAATATTAAAAGATCGGTTAATATTTAGGGGATAAAATAGACAAAATACTTAATTTTTGTCGGTTTTTCGGGTCACTCTAGAGGGCGCAATTACAGCCCAAACATCGCGAATGTTTACAGGGAGAAGGGGATCGGGCCAAAGAATAAGCATGCCTGTTATGATAAAGATTGGTCAATATTTAGCGGGTCAAATGGACGCTGACTTTTGTGTGAAGAATGACAAAATTTTATTTTTACTCCTTAATTAAATATACCAGAGAAATTGATAGTTTATCTAAGAGAAGTGGTTGACCTTTAGATTGATACCTATTACATTGTCGTATGTACTCGGATGTGGGAGATACTATAAGTAGGTACTATAAGTTCATGCATATTTTAAATCTTATTGGCCTTTAGGCTTTTTTACAAAATAAAGTATAAATAAAAAATAAAAATAAAATATTTACAGGTGCTTACGAGAGATGTTATTTAGTAAACTGGAGGGCGGAAATATAGCGCTGATCGCTCTGAAATGTTTCACGATGATCTAGTTATGATCAAGAACAACGCGTATAATTTTCGGTGATGATCAGACAGTAATTAGAAGGGCTATAGTGAATATTAGCAATATTCGGAAAATATGTCAGTATAAGGAAGTGGTGCTATTGACCGCTAATTGGGCAAGAGGGAGTACAAATCCGCAGAAAGTTATAGTTTCGTGGTAGTTGTGTGGGGTGTCGTATGATTGGCCCCTTACGACTATACTGCTCCGCTCACTAGTTTAAAGACTTTTTTTTCAATTATTATAATCTTGACATACTGTAACAGTTTTTTTCTTTAAATATTTATTAAAGGGCAATATAAAGCGTGGATATTAAAACTACAATATTTTATAAAGTCTACTACAAGGCGTGGTTTTTATAAAAAAATATTTTCAGGATTTTAAAAATTTATTTTTCCAGACCTACTATAAAGCTTCGATTTTTTTAAAAAATATTTTTCTCCGCATACTACTAGGCGTGGATTTTTAAAAAAATTTAATACATTTTGTAAACTCCAAATATGAAATGTAACCACTGTATTTATTTATGTTTCACTAGATATTGACACATGTGTTGAATGGTGATTAATTAATTTTTACTGCTCTTTTCATTGTAGCTTCATAATTGCATACACCCATTTAATCAATTTGAAAATATATGACCTAGACATTCGAATTTCTTAGTACCCAACCAGCTGAGATAATAAACTTCTCAGAAAGTAAAAATTATAGATAACAAACGTGTCAACACAATTTAACTGATAACAAACCTCATTTGGGGATACCCTCTCAAATGCTATAAATAAATTTAATTACGTAGAACATAAAGAGGGCTATTAAGAAAATTAGAGATAATATAATGAGTATTTTTGATAAAGTTGATTTTTTGGAGAGTACTCATGATATTTTATACTGATAACATAATAATGGATTAATGTTTATTTGCAAAATATTGAAACAAGTGTTATATTAATGGGAATTTTAATTTTAGATACAATCGGAAGAGATGTCTGCTGAGAGATAATATGAAATGTAATTAACCCAGGGGAAATGTTGCTGATCTTTAAATTTGAGGTAAAATTAATTAATATAGGGCAAATTTTTAGTGACAAATAATTTCAGCGGCTCCAGTAATATTTATAATTGTTAATGGGTAATTTGGGTATCGATTTTGATTTTTTAGTTCCAAAGTAAGATTTTAGTAAATTGTTATTTTGTATTTAATATTAATGTACATGGTTATCCATTTCGTTGTTTCAAATTTAAACGTAAACAAAACCAATATAATTTTTTTTCATGATATGTATTTTTTATTTCAAAGTTTGAACGTTGACATTATGTGTAAAACACTACATCATTTAAATGACCTCCACGCGAACTGTTGCCAGAACTGATTATTTTGAGGTAATTTTTGACCATTTTGCCGCACATGTTGAGCGGTATCTCAGCCAGAACAATTAGTCGAGGATTCTCAGATCCCAAAATATGACAATTTTGTTTATTAAGATACCCGTCGTTGGAAACCATAATCTCCTCTTAAGGGGACCCCCTCCATTCTCGGGGTCAAAATTTTTGTTGATATAATTCGAATCTACACTGATTAAAGAATGTCTCTACAAAATTTCAAGTGAAAACCTCAAGAACTCTTGAAGATATAGCCGATTTATTGTGTCAGCATCAAGTGACGGCTGAAGGGCTTCTCAATTTTTAAAAGCGTTTTTCTCTAAACATTTTTTTGCGAATGGCGGGCACGATAACTCAAAAACTAATAATCCAATCGGTTCCAAATTTTGCAACGTTTCTCTGGGAGTGTATAGCTCTCGTATGAACTAGGATAAAGCCAATCGGTGAAGATCTTCCTTATTTTTTAACTTGGTTTTTGGTAAAAAATCGGCGATTTTCCAAAAATATTTTTTCAAAGGTCCACCATTTTGTTAATTTTAGAGCGAAGTCAATAATCCTAGTTCATACGAGAGGCAGACATGTACTCTTTCTAACACCGTTGGAATTTTCGGATTCCGATGTTCCAGTGAGGAGTTATCATGCCCGCCATCAAAAATAAGGACTTTTCTTTAATTACAAAAAACAATAACAAAATTTTTTTGTAAATTATTTTTCTTCTCTTTTAAATCTTCAAATATATATGTGCAAAGTTACAAACCTTTACAAGCATTTGTATTCATTTACCAGCCCATTGAAAATCTTGAAAAGTTAAAATCGTGAATTGGGGGGGGGGGGGGGTTCCCTTAAAGCATGTATGTGACTGTGGCGCAATCACCATTTCTGTAGTATGTTTTAATAATTGTATGCGTTGTTAGATAGTTAAGTGATCCATTTTCGTCAATGTCTGACTTTTTTGTTTTAAATAACTACATTTGTTTAAGAACTTAGTTCTTTATATGTCGGATTCCAGTTCTATACTTTTGAAACCTTGAAATGGACAAACCTGTAATTTAATGTATTATCTACTGTATGTATGGGTTGTTTATATGATCTTTTAAATGATTAATTTTTGGTATAAGTGACATCTATTAGAGTATAGCTCCACTATATGCGTCTTGGCTAAATGATCTTCGCACAATTTTAGTTCAATCATACACACGTAGATGACAGTAATGCATAAATATGGCTCACTGTAAAATCACGACATAGTTCGCAATCTTTAAGATATAGCTTCGAAGATTTTATATGTAAAATTTCATAAATAATATGCATATAAGGTTGATCGATTGATTAATGGGGTTCAATCCCGATCTGCCAGAATTTTAATTAGTTGGCCAGATTCTTAAAATTTCAAATCGATTAGCACGAAATATATGCCCTCTAATGTGGTAATGGTAATCATAATAGGTAGATCTCTATCAACATTTACGTATAACTCCCACATCCGAGTACATACAACAATATAATTGGTATCAATTTAAAGGTCAACCACTAGTCTAGTATATACTATGAACTCATAGACAAAAATAAAGTTTTTGGTCCACTTCATCCCCTAAATAATAACCGACCATTACAAACCACAATAGGGGTCTTCTTAAGTCAGAACCCTTTCTACATTTGTGAGAAATATTTTCACTCCCGGGAAAATCTAAAAACAACAAATTCCAGAGGAATTAGAAAGATAACATGTTTCCGATTTGTAATGACGGATCATGAAAATTTTTGAAATCAACACAAATAAAGCCAACAAATTAACCGATATTACTCTTTCTTACTCATATATTTTTGAGAGGGGGATTTCAACGCTTTCATAACCTAAATGTTAGTTATTGTTAATTTTAAGAAAATAGGATGTGGTACACAGAAAATGTTTTTCTCCTTTGGCAATAATGTTCTTCTCAGTTTGATTAAACACGGCAAGATAGGCTTATAAAACGCTGCTCTTCCGTAAAAATACCTAAAACGGGGTTGAGCCTTTATAATGGGCCTATCTATATTCATAATTCTTTCCTATTATTCTTTATGCAGAATACGGAATAACCATAAATAATATACATACATTTTCTGGAGTATGGCAAACAAATCTATGATCCTTTCTCTATTGATTCTAAAAATAAAAAAAATCCCAATTTCATAAATCATTTTCTTATCTTTAACAAACTCTAATAATGACAAATTTCATTGAAATCATCAAGTGGATACAAACAAATTTATTAATTGTCTCAAACATTTCCTCTAGAGATAATTCCACACATGGGTTATTTTTTTGTAGCTCGCAAAATCGGTTAATGAAAAATGTTTGCAACTGCAGATAACTAAGCGTATCACAGTAGTCAATTATCTGAAAATAAATGTTAAAGTTTGCCATCCCCCTAAATTCTATAAAACAACAAACATAGCTGAAAATCAATCAGTAAGTCTCGTTTATTTACTCAAAGTGAAAAGTTAAGCAAAAATGTTCTTCAAAAATGTGTTAATGCTTTTGGTGGTGGTGATTGCTGCAGTGAAAGCACAGGTAAAGTGATTTATATACGATTCTAAATGTCGTCTACCAATTTGAATTTAAATAAATATATGGAATTAAAATTTCCACTTTTACTATTTGAAACCGAGTGTCGAAAACGAACGAGTGGAAAAACTTAAATAATATTAAGTTTTTCCATTAATATTAACCATTGGATATAGACGGATGTACTAAAGTTTAAAAAATTGTGAAAGTTTATTGGTATTTCAAATAGGGTATATCGGTCCACGTTTCGGTATAGCCCACCATATAACGGTATCCTCAAATATTCAGTATTATGGGGATTTTTGAAACTTTTTTCAAGCGAATTGGCTGTAATTTGCTGCGTTTTATTCTAATTATTCCTAACAATATGACCAATATTGGTTCAATTTTTTAGTGTACACCCCTACACTTTTTACAGAATCCACTGGAAATTGGTATTTTTGATTAAAATTCGCTATTATATCTGCCTACGAAAAATGATCAATAACGGTATCCCCTATATTCCGTATATCCTTGATTGCAATTTGTTATTTCAATCCTGGTCCGCCTATCACCCCAAAGATCTGTATTTTCAAAAGTTATCAAGTTTAGACCATGTTTCCGCGAAGGCTCCGTTATTCGGAATTTTGGGCATGCTTGTTAACCAAATTGGCTCATGTCAAATTTCGATATTTTGGAGAGTTTGGACAAATCAAATTTCAACCAAATTTTTTAGGTCCATACCTAGATTTCCTTAGACGTTTTCAAGGTCTAAGCGAGGATTTTCTTAAAAGATTTTTTTCAAATTTTCCTAAAAATTTTTTGTCATAATTTAAGCGTTGATTTTCAAAAAAAAAAAAAAAAAATTGTTCATGGTTAAAGCCTGCCAAAGCGTGGATTTCCTTAACATTTTTCCGGGGTACAAGCGTCGATTTTTTTAAATAATTTGAAGGACTTCAAGAGAAGGACTTGAAAGGCTTCAAGAGATATAAGCGTGAATTTTCATAAATAATTTTTTCAAGGACTTCAGAAGAGATGGTTGTGGATTTTCTTAAATAGTTTTTTGAAGGACTTCAAGAGATATAAGCGTGGATTTTCTTAAATAGTTTTTTGAAGGATTTCAGGGGATATAAGTGCGGATTTTCGTAAATAGTTTTTTCATTGACTTCAGGAGCAACAGTCGTGGAATTTCTTAAATAATTTATTTAAGGTCTTTAGAAGCAATATACGTGTTTTTTTAAATTGTTTAAGCACTTCAGGAGCAATAGGCGTGGATTTTCTTAAACAATATAGACCATACGGAATTACTACGGAATTTGTGGAACTGGATTCTGATGTATAAGCATGTTGTCTGCTGTATATTTAAACCAGTGTGCGGAGCAGTATATTCGGACGGGGACGAACATATGATACCCTACACCCTACCACTGAACTCTAATTGTCTGTGTATCTAAATATATTAGGTTGGGGAAAAAGATATCCATCGCTTGGTGCCAATTCCAGACTGTGTGGCAGATGCATTAAAACTTCTCAACCAAGCTCCCGAAGATTCTGGCGAGTCGCTGTAGATGTATGTGGCCTAGCGCTGTCCTGGTGGAACACGTCACCTCACCTATTGGCCAATTCTGGCGTTTCTGGTCAATTGCTATCTTCAAACGGTCCAGTTGTTGACAGTAGGGATCAGAATTTAGCGTTTGTCCATATGAAACCAACTCATAATAAATAATCCCCTTTCTGTCCCACCAACTGCATAGCAGATCATTCATAGCGGTTAGACCTGGTTTGGCCACCGTTTGAGGTGCTTCACCGCTCTTTGACCACGATCGTTTTCGCTCAGAGTTATCGTATGTGATCCATTTATCATCTCCAGTTACCATCCGTTTAAGAAATGGGTCTATCTCATTCCGTTTGGTTAATGCTTCGCAGATGGAAATTCGATCCTTCCTTTTTTTCTGTTGATTGGTGTGGCACCCAAACATCGATATTCCTTTTGAATCCAACTTTGTGTAAATGGTTTAAAACAGTTTTATGGTCGATTCAAACTAGAAAAGCAAGCAAAAACAAATTTTTGTTCCCTTTTATCCGCAAACTAGCATCATATCATGTGCGAAATTTATAGAGATCATTCTTGACCATATCCTATCATTCTGAACCATATCCGGAATTTAATGAAATATTTCCTAGCGATCAGCGTGATATTTATGTTTCTAGTGTGTTAATGGTAATATTGAACAACACCAGAATACGTAGACCTCCATCGTCATTTTCGAAAAAGTGCGCAGCCCAAATCAAACGAGGAATATTTTTGTAAAATTTGTCCTCCTTCTACAGCGAATACATGTGCGTCTTTTTCATCCTTATTTCATTTATATAAATACTATAAGACGAAATATTTTGACTTCAAAATATTCTACAAACATTTTGCTCATACGATTTTAGATAGGGTCCCCAAAGACATGAAATCGATATTCTATAAACTGTGTATATTATATAATTTAAATATTTTAAATAAAAAAAATTATTTCAATATTTTTTTTTAAAGAATACCACAAATAACATCACAGCCATACGCATTGATGACTACATTGCTGCCAATAAGCGCAATTATGAGAACAACGTGAAAGAATATGACTTCAAATTGCAAGCATTCGAAGAACTTTACAATGGGCGTCTTAATACCATCGATGTTCAAAAGGACTTCATGATTGATTCTCTGAAGCTGACCAACGAACGTTTGAGTACATTGGAATTTTTGAGCGATTATAGTAAAAATTGTGTTGCCAAATATCAAACCACTTTGCCCACGGAATACAATGTTACAGTGACGCTGCAAAATTGCACTGCATCGGCTAAAAGTTATTACAATACTTTGGTGACGGATGCTCGTACTACACGCAACAGTTTGGAATATTATTATGATGTAACTCTAAATAATGAATTGAAGAAATGTGACAATATTGTGAATAAGACATCGCAGGCAAATTACACACTTTGTGTTACCAATGTGGTGAGTAAAAATATATTATTTTCAAAATTCAGAAGATAATTTAATATTTTCCTTCATTTGTTTACAGATCGAAAATGCCAATGTCTATACAATTGAGAATCGCAAAGCATTTAATAGTCAAATGGAAACGGCCAACTGTGCAGCCAATGGTCAAGTCCACAAGGCATTGGATTGTAGTTTTACGGCCCAAAGCAATACCTTCCAACTGATGTCGACCGTTAACATTCAAATCGATATGTGTATTCAGGGTACCAATTCTACAGCCTGCAGTGGATACTATTGCCAAAATGTTGAACGTATTCCGGCTAATTCCATAAATCCGAAAAATCAGACCATGACAAATCCCTTCTTTGGCCGTAATGAGACACTTAGCTGTTTGATGTTGGATATCGTTTAAACTGGACAATAAGACCATGCCATAATTTAATGGAAAATTAAGATAAAATCTAGGAACAAGAGAGATGAGAACATATAATAATTTTATGATATTTTTTGGAAGTAGTAAATAAATAATTACTTTATAATCAAAAAAATATTTAATTCTAATGAAACAAGCAACAAGATTTTGGTGGGTGGAAAATTCCTTATGGTGATGAAAGACTTCGAGGAGTATAATAAAAACCCAG